ATCTATATTAAATGATCCAATTATAAAATACTAAATAAAAAATATAACCCTAGATTCTTCCTTTTTCAAGGCTACCTACACAGACGAATAATAAATAACAGGTTGAACATACATATTATATTTTATTATTCAAATGTTTTTATAATTAGTAATCCTTTTTTCTGCACTTTTTATCATTGATAGAAACACATTTTAAAGGCAACTAATCTTTTTGATTTAAGACACTGGTTTTTTACTTTTAATTATTATGATTTATTGATTCCTTAATCACTTTTAATAAAAATTATTGAAAAATAACAAAAAAAAATTACATATTATAAAATTTTTAATTAATTAAATATTTTTTTTTAAATCAAAGAATAAAAAAACATAAGCAAAATATAAAAGAATAAAAAAATATATCAAAATAAAGCTAGTAGATAAATAAATAAATTAAAAGAGTTATATTTTTATAAATCCTTTAAAATAATAAAAAATATCACAATTCAAAATAAATAAACTATTTTTACTCAAGATAAAGCTTCAAATTTGAGAGCTTTGGACACTTTCCTAAATAGAAGCCTAAACTTGATGCACCAATTACACCAATTTAATTGGGTCTTTTTAAATATTTTAGTTTGTCATTTAGAAGGAAAAAATGAAGAAAAAAAATAAATAATAAGAAATTTATTTATTTATAATAAAAGCAAAGGTATAAAATGAAAAAATTAGTTAAAATAACAAAGTAATATAAATAAGAAAAAGAAAAATTTATCAAATAAAAAGTTCATAAATAAATTATAGTTATATTATGGTTTTAAATTCATTTTTATATTAAAAAATATCACAATCCAAAACAAATAAACTGTATTTATTTACCTTAAATCAAGTGTCAAATTTGAGAGATTAGCGCACATTGCTAAAGCAAAACCTAAGCCTGATGCACCTTCATCACCAATTATATTGTAACTTTTAAATATTGAAGAAAAAAATACCATAATTTGTTATTAGTTAGTTAGAAGGATAAATGTACAAAAATGAATAAATAATATGAAATAATTTAATTAATAATAAAAGTAACAAACAGTTGAAAGGTAAAATTTAGTTAAATTAGCAAAGAAATAAAAATAAATATATAAAGAAAAATTAATCATATAAATAAATTAAAAGAGTTATATAGTTTAAATTTCACTTAGACATTAATAATATCACATTGCAAAGCAATAAACTATTTTTACCATAGACCAAGAAACAAATTTGATAGATTAGTACATGTTGCTAAAGCATAACCTAAGCCTGATATACCTGCATCGCTAATTTGATTGCTACTTTTTAAATATAGAATAAAATATTATTAATTTATTATTAACTAAAAAGAAAAATGAAGAAAAAAGAATAAATAATATGAAGTGAATTAATTAATAATAAAAGCAGTAGTTAAAAATGAAAAAATTAATTAAATTAAAGAACAATTAAAAAAGAAAAATTAAAATTTATAATTTTAAATGCTAATAAATAAATAAATTAAAAGAGTTAGTTAGCTATTTACAGTAATTAAAATTCTCTTTTATATCAAATAACATCACAATTCATAACAAATAAACTGTTTTTACCCTAGATCAAGCCTCAAATATTAGAGATTAGTGCATATTTCTAGACCAGAGCCTAAGCCTGAAGCACCATTATCAGCAATTTAATTGTCACTTTTTTAATATTGAAAAGAAATATATAATTAATTAGTAAATAAGAAAGAAAGAAAAAATGAAGAATTAATGAATTAATAATGAAAGTAAAAGTTAAAAATGATTAAAAGATTTATTATATTGCTTGTTTTAAATTCATTTTTATATTAAAAAATACACAATCCAAAATAAATAAACTGTTTTTACCTAAGATTAAGAGTAAGATTTAAGAGATTAGTGCACTTTACCAAACCAGAGCCTAAACCCGATATACCTTCATCACCAATTTAATTAGAGCTTTTTAAATATATTGAAGAAAAAAATATTTATTAATTGAAGTTGAAAATAAAAAAATTAGTTAAATTAACTAAGAAATAAAAATAAATTTAAAAAAGATAAAGAAAAATTAATCATAAAAAAAGCTAATAAATAAATTAAAGAGTTTTTAAAATTCCCTTCTATATAAAAAAACATCACTATCAAAAATTAATAAACTGTTTTTACCCAAGATCAAGTGTCAAATTTGAGAGATTAGTGTAATTAGATAAACCAGAGCCTAAGCCTGAAGCACCATAATCAGCAATTTAATTGCCACTTTTTAAATATTGAAGAAAATAATAAAATTAATTACTTAGTAAGAAGAAAAAAAATGAAATAACAAGAAATTCATTAATTCATAATAAAAGCAAAATTTAATTAAAAATGATAAAATTTGTTGTAAATAAATAAAAATAAATATTAAAAAATGGAAAATAATTCAAATAAAAAGTTAAAGAATAAATTAAAAGAGTAAGTTAATAATTAATTATATTGTTTTAAATTCTTTTTTATATTCAAAAATATCAAAAATAAATAAACTGTTTTTACCAAAGACCAAGTGCCAAATTTGTGAGGTTAGTGCACTTTCCGAAAGCAGAACCTAAGCTTGATGCACCTTCGCCACCAATTTAATTAGAACTTTTTTAATATTGAAGAAAAAAATATAATTTATAAGTTATTTTGAAGGAAAAAATGAAGAAAAAATATAGAAGAAATTAATTCATATTAAAAGCAAAGGTTTAAAATGAAAAAATTAGTTAAATTAACAAAGAAAAAAAAACAAATTTCAAAAAGAAATGAAAAATTAATTGAATATAGATCTAATAAATAAATATAAAGAGTTAGTTAGTTAGTTAGTTAGTTAGTTAGCTATATTGTTTAAAATTCACTTTTAAATTCAAAAATATTACAATCCAAAATAAATAAATTGTTTTTACCCAATATTAAGTGTCAAATTTGAGAGATTAATGCAATTTGGTAAACCAGAGATTAAGCATGAAGCACCATAATCAGCAATTTTATTGCAACTTTTAAAAAATTGAAGAAAAAATTTAATTAATTAATTAGTTAGTTAGTTAGAAGTAAAAAGTGAAAAAAAATAATAAGAAAGGAATTAATTAAAAATAAAATCAAAAGTAAGTTGTTGAAAATGGTAAAATTAGTTAAATTAGTAAAGAAATAAAAATAAAAATTAAAAAGAATAGAAAAATAAATAAATAAAATAAAAAGTTAATAAATAAATTTAAAGATTAATTCTATTTTTTAAGTTCTTTTTTTTTCTTCAAAAATATCATATTCCAAAACAAATAAACTATTTTTACTCAAGATTAAGCGTCAAAGTCTCGAGATTAGCCCACCCTCCTAAACCAAAAATTAAGCCTGATGCATTTACATCACCAATTTGATTGTTACTTTTTAAATATTGAAGAAAAAAATATCATTTATTAGTTATGTTGATGGAAAAAAAGTAAAAATATGAAATGATAAGAAATTTATAAAGCAAAAGTTGAAAATGAAAAAACTAAAAATTAGTTAAATTAGCAAAGAAAGAAATAAATATTAATAACAAAAAGAAAAATTAAAAAATTAAAAGAGTTAGTTACTTAGTAATATTGTTTAAATTCATTTTTATTTTTATTTTATATTAAAAAAATATCTCAATCAAAAAAAATCAAATAAACTGTTTTTACGTAAGATCAAGTGTCAAATTTTATAGATTAGTGCACTTAGCTAAAGCAGAAACTAAGCCTTATGCACCATCATCACCAATTTAATTGTTACTTTTTAAATATATAAAATATAATTTATTAGTTATTAGGAAGGAAAAAATAGAATAAACATCATAAAAATAATATGAAATAATTGACTAGTTAAAAATAAAACAAAAGTTTAAAATAATAAAATTAGTTAAATCAACAAATAATAAAAAGAAAAAGAAATCTAATAAAAATATAATAAATAAATATAACAAAAAAGATGCTTTTACAAGAGATAAAGTTTTAATTTTATGAGATTAGTGCACATTCTTAAACCAGAGCCTAAGCTTGAAGTGCCTTAATTACCAATTTGATTGTAACTTTTTAAATTTTGAAGAAAAAAATTATAATTAATTACTAGTTAGAAGGAAAAAATCAAGAAAAAATATGAAATGATAAGTAAGTAAGGAATTAATTAATTAATAGTAAAAGTAAAAGTTGTAAATTAAAAAATTAGTTAAGCTAACAACGAAATAGAAATACATGCGAAAATGAAAATTGAAAAGAAAAATTAATCAATATTTAAACTAATAAATAAATTTAATTAGTTTTTTTGTTTTAAATTTATTTTTATATTAAAAAATAACACAATCCAAAACAAGAAAACTGCTTTTACACGATAAAAAGTGTCAAATTTGAGAGATTAGTGCAATTTGATATAGCAGTACCTAATTCTGATGCACAATCATCATCAATTATATTGTCACTTTTTATATATTGAAGAAAATTATGTTTTAATTAATTACATTGAAAGAAAAAATCAATAAAAATATGAATTTATAAGAAAGGAATTAATTTATTAATATTAAAAGTTAAAGTTGAAAATGAAAATGAAAATTAATTAAATAAATATTTGTAAATAAAAAAATGAATATAAATGAGAATTTCTATTTAAAAAAATATTATGAATTAATTGAAAATTAAAGATAAAAAAAACTTTTATAAAATTAATATAAATAATTTGAATATACCTAAGATCAATACTGAGATTCTAATGAGATTAAAGTGGAGAGTTTAAAAACTTTTTAATTAATAAAAATAAATTTAAAGAATGTTTATAAAAAAATAAATAATTACCTCTTTTAGATTCAAAGTATTTTTATTTTCTTATATCATTTATTTTTTTTCTTTCAAAAATATTGGAAAGCAATTTATTGAAATTTAATTAATTAAAAGTATTAATTTGCTTTATATGAAATTAATTTGTATAAAATGAGCAAATAAATTAGAATAATTATCAAATATAATTTATATATTTACTTTTATAAAATTTTACACAAAAATGGTTAGTGTGATTATTATTATTATTAAATCTTAATGTTTATATTTAAAATTTATACATTAAAATATAGTAGGAATAAGTGATGGATAGATAGCCAGTCAGTCATATTTAAAACAAATTTTAGTAATTAATTAAAATACTTAAATTTTATAAAATAATTTTTATTTAATAGATTTTTATTGTTTTAGTTTTTATTTATTTATTTATTATTTCTCGAACTATTTTCAAATCCCATAAGTTTTTTTTTGAAGCACCAAATAAATGCATTTATACCTATTAAATACATTTTTAATAAATAGGATAATTTTTAAGTTATCAATAGTTAAGATAAATTTAAAAAAAAATAGATTTAATACATAAAAGATTTATTAATAAATAAATTAAAAGAATTTATTTATTTCATAAGTGTAAAGAGGAATTCGAATTTTGTGATGGAGTTTATTGAGTCTAGGCAATTGATTCCTTAAACTCAGTGAGTTTGGGTATGTGTGCATAAGTGGGATTTCAAGTAAAAACAAAAATGGGATTTGTATTCATTTAAAAGTTAACTATACAACAAATCAAGTATAGCACTTTACAATTCTAAAAAATAATCTTCACTATTTATTAGCGATGATTTAAATAATATTTAAAAATAAACAAACATTATTTAATTAAAGATTATGTATAAATATATAAAATTTATTTTCTGATATATTTTGATGCATTAAATGAAAAATAGTAATTAAGTATGTCATCAAAATAATTACTATCTCTTTGATTTAAATTTATTTTTAATATATATCTATTTATCTTTCTCTTGCTTTCTCTTTAGTCTTTCTTTTTTTAAATAAAATGCCTTTTACTTAACCAAAACTTCTTTTTTTCTGTCCTGAATCAGAGTTAATCATAACTTTTTTTCATTTAGTTTTTCTTTTTATTAAAAAATTTAGCCTAATTCTAATTATATTAATAATACTTTTTAAATACTGAAGGTACTTACTTATCTTTAATATACTTTTAAGATAAAAGTAATTTGAATTTGAATGAATAAAAAAACCTAAAAATTAGGAATAAAGAAAGTATTTTTTTTAAAGTTTATTAAAACAATATAATAGTCAATGACATGATTTTCAACATTTGTCAATATTATAATAAAACAGCCTTCTGTCAGTAATTTGATGGAGGAATTACTACCAAAAAATCTACTAAATAAAAATTATTTTATTAAAATGGAAGTACTTTTATTAATTGCTAAATTTTTATCAACTTATATCTCTTTATCTACCCATCTTTGGTTCTTGCTATATTTTAAGTATATACATACATGCTTTCAATAGAAATATTAAGATTTAATAATGGTTGCTGCACTAACTTTTTGTTTTATCTCTTCATAAAAGCAAATTTACAAATTTGAATATTTGATAATTATTATAATTTAATTGTTATTTTTCTACAATTTAATTTCAAAAAAAAGTAAATTTATTAATTAATTAAATTTCCATAAATTATTATTCAATATTTTTAAGATAAAAATAAATAAATGATAAAAGATAAAAAATATTTTAAAAACGTAGAAGAAGTAAATATTTATTTTTTCATTAAGGTTGTTTAAATTTATTTTTATTAATAAAAATAGTTCTTAAACTCTTCACTTTAATCGCATTAGGTTCTCAGTTTTTCTCTAAAGTAAAATTAATTTATTACAATATATTTTTCATAAGAGCGCTATTCTTGGTTAATAAAAATATTTTTTTAACTATTTTAACTTAATTTTCACACTATTTTGATTGTGTTTATTAATTTTTCATTTTTTTTATATTTAATATTTTTTATTTATTTTTTCCCTCTAATTAACTCTTTATTTTTTCTTCAATATTTAAAAATGGCAAATGGAATTATCTATTTATTTATTTATTTATTTATATTTTATGCTTGTGATTATTTTCTTTCTTTCTTCATTTGTTAATTTACGTAATATTTTCATTTTCAAATATTGCTTTTAAATTTTAATTAATCGATTAATTCATTTCTTATAATTTCCTATTTTTTCTTCATTTTTTCTTTCAAACTAACTATTTAACATAATATTTTTTCTTCGTTTTATAAAAAGTGAAAATAAAATTGGTGATAAAGATGCATCAAGTTTAGGTTCTGCTTTAGGAAAGTGCACTAACCTCTTAAATTTGGAACTTTATCTTAAGTAAAAACAGTTTATTTGTTTTAGATTTAGATATTTTTTAATATAAAAATGTATTTAAAACGATATAACTAACTCTTTTAATTAGTTTATTAGCTTTTTACTTGATTTATTTTTCTTTTTTTTATTCTGATTGTGTGTTTTTTTTCTTGATTTGTAAATTTAACTCATTTTTTCATTCACTGTAAATTAATTAATTTCTTATTATTTCATATTTTTTCCTTATTACTAACTAATTAACTCTTTATTTTTTATTCAAAATTTAAAAAGTGGCAATAAAATTGGCGATGAAGGTGCAACAGTCTTAGGTTCTGGTTTAGGAAAATGCACTTATCTTTCAAATTTAACACTTTATCTTCTGTAAAGCCGTTTATTTGTTTTGGTTGAGATATTTTTAAATATTAAAATGAATTTAAAGCAATATAACTTAATTAATTTATTTATTAGCATATAGTAGATAAGG